GGATTAAAGTGCATTGCACAACATTCGTGGTCGTGGTCGTGGTCGTTTGTTACTACGAGCCAAATTAGCCCATCTTAATGGGAAAGACAATCGCAAAGTGCTACCTTAATGAAATAGATAAACACCAAAATGGGATTGTAAACCGAAAGGAAACGGTTGCAAGTGAGGATACGGATGGACACCGATTGCATTTAACCAACACGAGAGGCTTTGACTGAGATTTTCACAACAGGCCAAACGTGACAAGAAACGCGGAACGTGTCTGCATTTATCTTAATGATCGGATTTATGTATATCTAGCGCGGAAAACGGTCTTAAATCGTGATGTTATCGACCTTCTAGGACTTTCCAGGGACTGAGTTAACGATGTGTTCGCACCTTAAAGTATAGATAAGAGAGATGTTATCTCAGATTGAGAACATGTCCAGCGGTTAAGTAATCCCGTTTCAGCAAAGGAAAGGTTCATTACATGACACGTTAAAGCGCTTTTCAGTTGCTCTTACCTACAAAACAGGTTCAAAACAGAGAGCTGTCATTGTTGGCTGCAAAGCACGTCTCAAAATGCTTCGGTTGTTTGCCTTATGCGCAGTTCTTGTGTCAGTGAACAGTCAAGATGTTGGGATTAATTCTGGACGTACTCAAAAACAAACCCTTCGTCCCAGTCAGGGCAAATCATGCAACATAAACAACTACAACAGTTTCTACGCTGGACCAAACAAGAAAGTTGAAAACCTTCTTGTTGACGTAAAGAGGCAGTTAGAAGAATTACAGAAGCAGGTGGCTCTTCTGACGAAAGACAACAAGACTAATTTAGATGGTTAGTGTGACACAATTCATAATTTTTTTGGCTCATGGAGAAATTCACCCGGCATAACCTGTTGTATATCGTTCTTTTGCTTCTTATTGCTCTACTGGCATAATGTTCAAATACTATTCTTTACGATCTACTTCAAGCCCTAATGATTCACCGATTCGCACTAAATTTGAGGCTCTCAATGGGGTGATGGCTTTTTTGGCTTAAAGTGAAAAGTTTGGTCAATTTACAGTTAGTATCTCTCCATTGTGGTCTCCAGAACATGTTTTACGGTTAACTCCTTTTACGACTTACGGTTAAAATTGGACAATCTTTACGGCTAACGGCGTAATTGTTTGTTCGTTTTACGGCTTACGGTTAACCGCAACGAGATCCTCGAATCTGGCAAGCGATTGGAGGCAACTAGATTGTAATTTTTGACTTGGCATCGGGAACAATTCCCGTTGTCAGCAGTAGCACGTCTTATTCTTAATCTGGCTTACGCTCCTAAACAAGCGTGGAAGGGACCCCCCTCCATCTCCATCTCCGCCTGATTTTGATATTTTTGTAGGTTTTAAATCCCATGTTAAAGTAATATAATCCGGATTCAAGTTTTTGTTTTTTTTCTGTTTTTTCTTTTCAGTAAATTAAAGATTTGAGACAAATTCTCATGTTTAGTCAACTAAATCTTCTTGTATCATAGGAAAGCCCCGAAGCTGTGTGGAGATTTTTAAATCTGGACAAAAAATCAGCGGTGTCTATACAGTTGACCCTGATGGTGCAGGTGCCTTTGAAGTGTACTGTGACCAAACAACAGCCGGTGGTGGATGGACTGTGTTCCAGAAGAGACAGGATGGCTCGGTTGATTTCTACCGCGACTGGGCTGACTATAAGAATGGCTTTGGTAACCTGAATGGGGAGTTTTGGCTTGGACTGGACAAGATTAACCGAATCACAAATAGTGAGAGATATAGGCTTCGAGTGGACATGGAGGACACTGAAGGAAAAACAGCTTACGCCGAATACGACATGTTTTCAGTCACAAGCGAGAAGACGAAGTACCAGCTGAGCATCGGGACTTATTCAGGTCGGTTTTCTTTCTCTTTTGTAATATCAGGAATACCTTGAATTTCATTTTTGATGCTTTGAATTACTCAAATAACTTTACTTATAGACAAGTAGCTTACTGATTTTCATTGACATTTAACCACGAGAGATGGGTAATAACAACACCTCCCCACCCACACACACTCGCACACCCCCGAATAAAAGCCTCAACATATTTTGAAAATTGAACTCTGAATTCGGAGATGTGAAAAAGACATTGAGCTATGTATTTTTTTCAAGCGAGTTTCAAATTGTCCTGATTAAGCTTTGCGAAGCTGCTGTTTACCTAATAAGGCCTCTAAAATCTTCGTTGAAGAAGGCCAAGAATGTACAAAACTCAAGGACAGAAAAGTTAAGTCTAACGAAAACTCGACTGTAATTAAATTTGTTTTTAACAAAATGAAAAATATCTTAAAATAGGTTTTGGTTAGTCATCGTGGTAAATAGCACTTTCAAATAAGAAATGCTAATGACCACATCGTGGGACAAACGGTTATGTTTCTCTTTTGAAAGTGTAAAAAGTTGTACTTTAAAATGCTCATCTCCTGCACTCTCCTAGCTGTGAATTCTGGGTGTATGCTGGTTGCAGGCATTTTCCGTATTTCACTTTTCGAAACCTCATATTTTTTCTCAGGATTTTCAAAAACCTGATAAGTTCCAATTTCCTTCATTTTCTTTTCAGTTTAAAAATTAACTTTCAGCCTGATTTGTTACTACAGGAGATGCTGGAGATTCTTTGAGTGGCCACCGTGATGCAGCATTTTCCACCAGAGATCAAGATAATGATAATAATGGAGGCATCAGCTGTGCTGTGTCTTACAAAGGTGCCTGGTGGTACACAGGCTGCCACTCATCCAACCTAAATGGGTTTTATTATCATGGCAAGCACTCATCTTATGCTGACGGTGTCAACTGGCAAGCTTGGAAGGGTTATAAGTATTCCTTGAAACGCGCTGAAATGAAAATAAGACCGAGTAGTTTATAGTGGAAACTGCTGCTGTGATTTTTGATAAGTTTGTAACGTGATCATAAATGGATATCTGAACGGTTTTTTTACAATAAAATTGCTATCAAATAAGATTAGAGCTATTTCAATTGATAGTCGAAAGTAATATGAAGTTTGCATTGGTTTTGCTTTACTTTGCTCTTCTCATTGACTTTTAAGGATGTTTTCTTACGCTAGTCGCTATCTATTGTATGTGTGGTTGTGAGAAAAATAATAAAACCTGAACCTGTCCAGTTAATTTTTCAACGATTGGCAGATTTATGTCGAAACGATTCGCCCATTCGCTCTCGCAGTATCACGCGACAGAAATTTCGAGCTCATAATCCAACTTTTAGTCAACTAACAACAGCAAAAGGGGCAGCGGAATCTTTATTTCTGATCCAAGCCTTTTGATTACTAACAGAAGATCATTGAAAAGGATCGCAACGCAAATTAACTATAGCATGCTATCAAGGGTTTTGAAAATCCATTGGTCACCTGACTAATTGAGTTCACAGTCGAACCTGAATTGATTCTGACCCTTTACATCGTGTTTCATCTTGATACAATCATCAAAAGGTTCATCCTTTGGAGATGCTTTGAGAAACAACAATTAGGGCTTCCTTCGTCTATCCTTTCGTGGGAAACTTGAATCACTTCAACAGTCTGTATTTGCTCATTACGAAAAGTAACTTACGCTCCTAAACAAAAGTGGGACCCCCCCCTCTCCTTAGTCCCCTCAGTTTTAACTCGTTCGTGCTGAAAGCAATGAATGAGTTATTGTGGTGAAGCAGATGTTGACGAAAGTTGTCGACCGTGGACGGAAGTTGTATTCCCTGGGCGGAAGTTGTATTCCCTGGACGGAAGTTGCATTGTGGCCCGTGAACAGAAGTAGTCTCGTATTCTACCCCTCCCCACTTAGTAAAAGTCACATAATTTCGATGAAGCTCAGAAACTCGCGCGGAAAGAAATGAAATGTTTGTATGATTTAATGAAAATAATATCAACAAATCACATTTCCGAACTTCCGAAAAGGCAACTTGAATTTAGAGGCCGAAATGTTCACACTTAGGTTCATTTCAACACACATTGTGACCACGCAGAGGGGTATTAGAGGCAGCCTTATTGTTCAGCTGTGCATTTGTGTTCGTCTTCATTTGGTATAAAGTGATCATTGCTCTATCATTGTGCTTGTCCTCGGGAGCTCTTCAATATATAGCCCACACATCAATCGTAGCGGCTAAGATAGTCTCACTAAAATTTTTTTTCGAGACCCAATATTTCGGTCCGGACTTAAGGCTCGCTCAAACAAAAACAGCAATACTAATCCGGTCAGTACAAAATGCAGACTGCAGACCGCGAACAAAATGCAGACTAGGTACAAAATGTAGATTGTAGACCGGGTACAAAATGCAGACAGAATTTATACTGTTTTTTGGTTTGATACGTGATAACATGTCATCTTACAACTTACCGAGCGTCACGCAATCGCTTTTCCGCGATCATCTTTCACGATTGTTTGCATATATTCCTTGCCCGTTTCTTGATCACAAACACAGAATTTACTGACTCAATAAAAGTAGGTGTAGATGTAGATGTAAGTGAGATGCCACTACAACACGCGCAATATTCGAGAAACAATTGACAGCTTTGCACGTGGGCCATGAGTTTCATCTTTTTAACCGATATGTGTTCATTTTGATGAGAAAAATGCGAACCGAGACCAAAACTGTTCCTTCGACTTGATATATTTTCAAGGTTCAGGGGTGTACACACACTGATTTTTACATATGTGCCTTATATTGTCATTGGCTTACATGAGGAACCGGCCCCACAAACACATACACACACACACCCACACCAACAAAAAGGACACTGTCTGCCTAATGACCTCTATCCATCCCACCTCCAGCCCACACAATCTTTTTTCCAATTCCCATCACGACGAATACACAAGGTTTCTTATCACACAACTGCCCAAAAATAAAAAAAAAAATTATTCCAAAAGTCTTGAAAGTTCACATAAACCGAATTCAACTGTACCTTTATTCAGCAAGTCCAAGAAATCAATGCAAACTTAAGCCATAACATGAATGAGATCCAAAAGCCCTTTGATTAAATTTTTATAAGTATCAAATCCCATTTTGATGTATTATCATGCAGATCTTAGGTTTGTTTTGAATAAAAATGGCTTACTTGCACTCGTAATTTAGCGCTTTCAGAACACGCGGATGGAACACTTAACATGCTCCTGTTTGCAACTATGCCCGTTGGTAATGATTGTGAATATATGAAAATCATATATGTGCACTACGGTTAAAGAAACGAATATAGAAGCGATCCTCGCAGTTATGAACACTACTGAACTAGTAGTTGAAATAAGGCCTGAAAAAAAAAAAAATTCAGGCCCGCTCGGGATTTAGGTTTATTGATCATGACTTTCATTGGTTTGCACGTGTGGTTAAAGAGGCCACCTCAATACGTAAGACGTCATCCTAGAAACATCAATAGAGAATTCCTGAAGTACGAATGCCTATTATCAAAATGCACAACAGCCGATCAGTAGCAAAGCGGACATATAAGGAAACAATATCGATGAGGATCTAAATACATTAGTGACAGCGCGCCAAAACACACCAATAACAGTAAGCCAAGGTGCTGTATATAGTTCATTGAATTTGAAGTAATATTCTTGTAATGTCACAGAAACCGGAACCACGTTACAATGTTTCCGTGCAAAATACAATGTACATAGACATGTATCAAGTAGGTGTGGTTCTATTTAATGGAATAAAGGTTGTTATCAACATTTTGTCCGTGAACCTCTGTTCATCGAAGAGATTGGATTGTCAATTAGAATTTGATTAAGGTTTTTGACTGATAAGTTACAATGGGGGCAAAAAAAATTTCCATGCGCCTCAAAGGTGATGTTCTCATCAGTAATCGTTTGTCGCCTAGCCAAGCTAGTTCTTAGTTGAATCTATTTTGATCCTGACGCTCTACATCGTGCTCCATCTTATTATGATCACAACATACATTTTCGAGCTACGGTCATTTCAAAACTGGTTATAAGTAATAACCAAAACCTTGGGGGGATACATGTGAGTAGCTACACTCGTGGGGTGTTCTTAATGTCACTCAAGGAAGGAGTGAAAACTTGCATAGAATTCTATTTTGACTCTTGATTACAAAATAAAATTACCTGATAAGTGAAAATTAAAACAGATAATGCGCGGTTTTTTTTTAGTTCATTATCGGGAAAGAACTGCTTTATTCATTTATAATTGTTACCCGACCAAAGAGGGAAAGTGGCTGAAACAAAACTGCTTGTTGCCCCTAATTGAAGTTGATAACATTGATTCTGCTTCACAATTCACTCATGTTTCAACGATATTCACGATGTTTGCTGACTTCGTGGAGATTCAGCAGGAGCAACTTTTGTACTATTCATCTTCCAAGGTGCGCGCGCTAAAATATGAATTAGTGTTTTAAAGCGATGGCACAAAAGAGCTAAAAACTGTATAGCGAATATTCCTCCATAAATGGTTAAAAAACCAAGTCCGATGATGTCCACACCTAAGATTTTGAGATCCTTGTGCCGGACCAATGCAAGAATGATAATCATCCACAAGGCATTACTAACGCCAAAAACCAGCAGAGTTGTATTTCTAAGTTCTACAAGTTTTCCTTTAAGCTCGGACGTCTGATCAAACGCACTCATCTCAGGAATAAGGCACTCTTGTCGTAAACCATTCCAGAAGTTGTACTCGTCACCTCCGTCTGAATTATCCACATCCAAGAACTTTAACGGAAGACGATCCAGCTCATTCCTTGTGCGCCGAATTTTCATTTGTCCTGAAATGAGTAAGAAAACATTGATACATAAATCATTCTAAACCTTATGCAATTGTTATAAGTTGATGGTAACAATAATAGACAATTTAAATGGAAATTATTCTTACGAAACAGTAAAGGATTGAATCTCCACCATTTAAAAAGTTATACCAATATCTTTTCTACCAAAATATAATCTGCGGCTCTGCATAGCAGGCAGCCAGGATACAAAACAACATCAAATGACAACATTCGATCTTAAAATTTAGCCTATTTGCTGGTTAGCTTATTTCTGGAAAAGTCAAGACCCAGTCATAACTAATAAAAAAATCAAATGGTTTTAAAAGCATTCTTCTCCCTGAGATTAGAACATTCATGATGGACCACGAGTAAAACAGCAGCGAGTTCCATCTCCAGTCAGAGGAGAGGTAAGAAGCGATGAAATTAATGTATTCATGAGAACATCAGAAATCTTAGGCTAGGGCGTGTTTATCCTCCTGGAATAAGATACTCGACAGAAAAAAAAGAGAACCTTGTAAACCGTATCATAAGTTCAACGACTTATTACGGAGCATGCTTTACTCTATGGTGGTTAACACACCTCGATTAGGATATTGCAATTTGTTAATGAGAGATTTCAGTCGATTTAAATGGCCCGGTTTTCGGATGAGCAATGTCTCCTTAAGTTTCTCTTTGCTCATCTTCTTTAAATCCACCAAGTCGCTTGGTTCTGCATATCCGTTGGATCTGAACAAAGGCCAGTATTCTTCGAGACCATGTTCTTGTAACCAAACCTCGACGTTTTCCTGTTAAGTGACGAAAATTAGAAAAATAAAATCAATTAAAAATTGGACGAACGGAGGAACGTACGAAAATATGGGTGGATAGGTCATGGCCTGCACAAATTTTCCATGGCAAAAACATGCTCGATTAATAAATCAGAGGGTAGAAAGGCATTAGCTACGTTTTAGAGAAGGAGGAACTTACCGGAATGTTCTCTTCGATATCAATGCGCGGAATATTCTTGATATCTCTCATTAGTTTCTGTCGATGTCCTATATTTTGTATACCAATCCTTTCAAGGTCCTAAAATGAATGGATTGAGAAATAAAAACAACTTAATTATTGTTGCACATGTAGCCAAGGAGCTGGGAAAACGTGTTGCAGGAAAGTGGGTGCCCCTTGCCATGATTACATTCCAATAAAATTGAAAATGCGCTGCAGAAGCAAAGGAAGTATCGATGTATACAAAGCAAGTCTAACTACTTAGGAAAATATGAAGAACTTTTCATAACCATCGAGCACTGTAACAGTGAGTTGTAGTGTCTGATTTTAGCAAATGATTCGATCTTCAAACTGTTGAATTGCGAAATACTGTCATTTTCTGCTGCACTGGCTCAAAAGAGATGAAAACCTAGAAACCACGTCAAATCATGAAAAACTTGAAAAATCACTTAACTGTTGACGTATTACTCCAAAAGAACCAAGGAAAACCAAGAAATGCACAATATCATTTGTTTGTTTGGTTATTTCTTCTTTTGTTTTTCAAATCCTACTTGCCACTAGGAACTTGCCTCTAGGAACTTACCTGGTCGGTCATTCCAGCGATAAACTTTGCTTTTTCATATCCATTTTTGCGGAAGTTTGGAGCATAATCCTGTAATGATTCGGAGAACAATACAACAATATCTGCGGTCGAACTCAAACGCATAGGACTAGAGATGTAGAAGTTGGGCAACAGTAGTAAGGCCTCATCGGAATAGGGCAGCTGACGGGTGACTAGAATGTTATTGAATAAAGTGATCGTACCGTCTTTTATTCTACATTATCTTCGTTATCTCAACAGACTTATCATGCTTATATCTCATCTTATTGAATAACATTCAGTAATTTTTTCTTTCATGAAAAGAACAGAGTTTGAGGGACTGGGACGTGATTCGCTTTCTGTTTCGATGAGAATCGACTGAGTTTTACACGGAACAACTTTAGCTGAACGATCAGAAATTTGATGACGATGTACATGATTCTTTCTATATGTAGGAAAACAAAAAGATCTGGAATAGCAATAATTATGATAATAATTATAATAATAATAATAATAATAATAATAATAGAACCAAGAGCGTATTAATAAAGAAATTACTTTTACCTTCAAATCGTTAGGTATCCAGTCCTCTACTGGAGAATTTGGATCAGAGTGAGAAACTTTCTCGAGAGCTGACCCAGGGCGACTGATTTCGCCTTAAAGAGAAAAAAATTGAGCTGGAGAAGGGCATTATAAATCATATACCGTACTAAAAACCAAATGACGAGAAAATTAAGGTGGTTTCTCTCCTACTTATTTTGCTAGTTTCCTCCAACACCCAAGATCCTTAACTCGCACATACACTGAGCCTTATAGCTTCTCAAATATTTCGTAAATGAAGATTGTTCCATGGGAAGTGCGCACGAACGATTTTCATTCACGAGTTGCGATGCACCAAAAAAAAAACGAAAGAGTGAGCGCAGCGAACGAGTGAGTTTTTCGATGTATCTCAACGAGTAAATATTAATCGTTGAAGCACTTTCCATGGTATGATGTTTTTACTTCATACATACTTAGATTTTTTCTTACTGACCGACACATTTCAAAGACTGGAAGCGAACGTTTGTGAAAATACATCGTTCTTCCAATTAGAGACACGAACGATAGTGCTTCACAGTGCAAATCTCAATATGTGTGAAATAGCTTCATATTCTTTTCATATGAATTATCGCACAGAACTCATGCGCAATTTGGCATTATTAAAGGAAAAGAAAACACTGCAGTCCACAGCACTGTAAGGATAAAACGTTTTCTGTCGCATTCTTGATTCTTACGGTATATAAATACCTTCTGTTGGAACTGGAAGCTCGGCTTGAGATGTATGCGATCGTGAACTTATCTCCAATTGATATTCTGAGCTGTCCACAGTAATTGATTGCGACGACTCAATTTGTGTGGAAAATATCACAGGGATTTCGTGTTGGCTTTTCTCTATGCATGTTTGTTTGATCTGCGGATTCTCGGTGGGTTTTGAAGGTGTTCTTCGTGGAATAGCAGGGAGGACAAGTTTGGATGGATTTCTTGAGACGGAAATGGTTTTGAGACTGGCTTGAGACGGTTGTGTTTTATTTAAGCATGTTGGAAAGTCCTCAATGGAACGATTGCACACATCGTACTCCTTAGACATCCTTTCAAAATTATCTTCTTCGTCAATAGGTGCCATCTTTCCCTCACAATCATCAGCCCAGGCTTCTTGGACAGAGATTCGATTTTCGTTTGTGATATTTTCCTTATTTCCTGTCTGCGGATTAGAAGTTGATGGTATGACTTCATCTTTGATATCTTTATTTAAAGTGGTAGCAGGCTCAGACGATTGGCCGGATGGCTGTTTGTGGAACGTGGAATTTTCATTAGCATTCATCGCAGCAACATTGGACGGCGAACTTTTTGATGATCTGGCTCGTTTTTTTCTTGGGATCTCAGCTGCAGAATACATAACATCTCTATAGATCTCACTTACTTTTTGAACACAATCATCTTCAAAAACTGAACTCTGTTTGTGGCTCTCCAACTGTGAACCGTTTGCTGATCTCTTCTCGCTTTTTGCGCTCGGCACTCCATCTTTTGCTCTATATGTATCCATAACTGAAAGGCGAGGAACGTTTGTTTTGTCTTTCTCAGACACACTTTCCTCTGTATCAAGAACCACCCCTGTGTTCTCGTTTGCATCTGATGGTCTTGTTAACTGAAATTAATGAAAGCTCCTTAACATATCCAGTGTAACGAAAAGAAATATGACCTAACACTAAGTAAAACAGACGAAGGGAACCCCCTATGTTACGATATTATTCGCGGCGTACTTCTGTAAAGAAAACTCGCTAAGCTACGAAATTCCTCTCGCAAAAGTTTCTCCAACTGAATCTATGAGCAAGGGATAAAAATTGAAAGAGAAGCTATTTTTGCGAAAACTTTAGGGAGTTCAAAGTTTTTTTTAAGGTATCACTGTAACTTCGTTGTGAAGATAACATGAAACTTAAGCCAAGTTAGAGAGCGTCGAGGAACCTACATGGACTTTTGTACGCGCACAAATCTACTGCTTTAATGTTATTGCAAGCATAATTTGTGAATTTTTATAGTAAAATTAAGCCGGAAAATCAAATATTGAAACCTCGGCGCTGCAGCAACTGTTTGGAGCTCACTAACCGTTGACAACCTTTTTTTTTTTACTATTTTTGGCTGAATAAATCATTGGGTGATTCTCTTGAGCAGTCAGTTAAGAAACTATTGATTATAATGCTTACAGTAATCACAGTTAGGCCCAAAAACCCTAAAAAAGACAATTACCAAATATATCTCTCGAGTTTCCAGAAGTAAACCGTACTTTTCTAAACGTAGTCTGTCGCTCTATGTAAAAAGGGGGCAAGTTCTAAATAAACTTTGGGGCTGCGTCGGAGGGGGAGTATAACAAGGTATTTGGTACATATTATGAACTGAGTTAATAACATAAATAGGCCACCGTAAAGAGTTTCAAAGCTGACGTCTCGAGCGTTAGCCCTTCGCCACTCGCTCTGACGAAGGGCTAACGCTCGAAACGTCAGTGTAAGTACAAAAAGTACCTTGCTTGAGGAATTTGAAAGTTCCACTGTGATATTGGTTCTCCCTTCTATGATGCTTCCATCTTTTGTACCGTGATGTTTCGGTCGGATTTGTTCTGACTCTTCTTGATATTGGCAGCATTTGCAAACTCTCTTCAAACAATTCCAAAATGGCCTGTACCAGTCGTCTCCGTCTGAAGATGTGGACTTTCCTTCTCGTGTTCCTAAAAATACAGTGCGGATTATGCTTGTTTGTTCTCATTTGAGAGTAAAGGTTACAACTTAAGTAAACGCATGACACACCAACCTCCTCCTGCTTCAATTTCGAAAAATAATTCACTTACAACTTGAGCTAGGAAGTTTTTAAATTTACTTTTTTCTTACTCAGCCCGAAGACATCAAGCACGTAAAGAAATGGACATTTTATGGAGAAGTGGATTCTTCTTCATCTCATTCACAACAATGATCAATTTAACAATAGCCTCTAAGTGAGGCATTTATCTCAAACTGATTTGAAAGAGGGAAAAGATTTGCCCATTGTCTAGCCGTTTGATGTTTTTCTCATTTTCAATCAATCAAGTCAATCAAAGGGGAACAAAGTAATGAGAAAAATACTAATTTCTTTTCATTAACTTACCCCAGGACCTGTCGGTTAAATTGCAAAGCGAGTATATCGTTAGCAAAAGATAACCTGAAGGTAAGCAGAGGATATACCAAATTCCATGTAACAAACAAGTGAATTCCTTCGGATGCAATAGAGCAGAGGCTAAAAAGATGCTAGACAACCCAGCCAAGTACAGGGTGCTGACTCCAGCTGGCAGATAGTGTTCTAAAGGTTTCGGTGTAGGTGACAATGTTGTGTTTGGCTCTAATGTTGGTCCTAAAATGGGCTCAGCTCTCCTTTCTTTTAACTCATTTGAAATTTGAACAGCCACGCCAATGATGACAATGCACATGATCACAGCAAAAACAAAGGTCAGTATCTTAGCCGCTTTGAGTTGAACGTTTTGGGACGCAAATAAACAGACTAAGATGTAAGCAAGAACCAAAAGGCTCAGGAGAGCCACTGTAGTAATCTCGTTAATAGCAAGCCCTGAGAACACCATTCCACCTACTATGACCAGAATGACTGTGGAGGGTCTGCCGGGAAAAAAAATCATACCGTTACTGTCTCGATGTAAATATACGTTACGTTTCGCTCGCTACAAAGGGGCATGAGGAAAAAAAATTCTCTGACGTTGAGGGCTGTGAAATAACTAGGATTTGTTTCGCTTTCTGTAATCAAGAATCCGAAAGTGTTTAGAGCGTTCAATTATTTGAATAAATACTTTAGCCTACCCAATAACTGTGGAGCAGACGAGGAACGTTTGGTAAAGAATAAATAGAAAAGAAATATGCTCGTTATTCTTCAGTGTCCGTTTCCACTCGCTGACAAGCAGAACAAGATTGGCTAAAGTGGATGGTGTCCATCGTCTACGTTGTTTGTAAAACTCGTCAAAGCTCTCTGGGCAGTAAGTGCTGTCTTCTGCTGCGGCGCAATATGTCAGTCGCCAGCCTCTTTGGATCATGAGTGTACACATCCAGCGGTCTTCACCTTATGGATAGAGAAACATATGAATTCTTGCCTGGTGGGAATTATTTTAATTGATCGAGCATACGAAGTTGATATGTTTCATTTTTTTTCTCACCGACTGGGTATGCAAACAAACTCACCCATGTCTTTCGTAAGAAATTCAAAGGCGTGGTCCACGCCGGTAGAATATGTAGGAAGAACATCTCGTACAGCCTGGCACCTGTACAAACTGAAACATCCGGGACTACACAGTACCGAACCAAGCATATGATTGGCCACCTAAACCGAGATCATAAACATTTTCAAATAACACATACATGAAACTTGTGAAATAAATGTCGATTTTTAATCATCAGAAGTCTGTGGACCTTGCCTTTCATGATCCTAACAAACGTCTTATGAATGTAATCAACCTAATATAATACGAACCAAAGGTTTGGGGAGGTGTTTTATTGCCAAATCATTGGTTCAGGTAACAATGAGAAGTTGTCGCAGTTCATCAACTGGTTACTGAGAAGTCTTCATTTTAATTCATAAATGGTTTTGTGTCCTCTCATCCAATTTTGCTCTTTAAAACCCATCTGAGACTATTTCTATCATTCTTGTCTTTTAAAAAATTTTAAGTCAATTTTATGGCAAAACCAACGGAGCTGAGATCGGTCTAGGCCCTTTAATAGAAACGAACCTTTTGAAACCAGTGTCCGATGGCATAGTCAAATATTTGATACCAAACAACAGGCCCATCTCCCAATGGATGGGTACGAGCACACACTGCACCCGTTTTGGGGTCCTCAGTGATCTGGTCAATTAACGCTTCAACAGACCAATGGGTAAACTTAACATCAGCGTCTGTTGTAAGGATGAAGCACTGGTCATCTTCCACTACAATATAAAATGCGGAATATGTTGTCACAAACATTCTATGCTAAATTAATGCATGCCTTTGTTACTCTGAACTGAAAGTTATTTAATTTGTATGTTACGAAGGTACCTCTGAGAAGTTCTTGTCGAAAGTCGAGGACGTAGGACATATACATTACTTGGCTCCATCTTTTCTTGTTCTTCACCTGTGTAAAAATGAAAGGACATTCTATCAATAGTATAGTGTTCGTGGCAGCCCACTCAGCGATAAGAAGCTAGTATGTATCTAAGTGGCTGGCTGCCTCACGCATTTTAGAAAATTGCAAAAATGGACCTAGCAATTTTGCAATCTGATGATTGAACACCATCTGAACGGTTTACGGGTTAACTTAAAGTAAAATGACAGGATAGAATCTGTTATGGATTACGGTCGGGTAGGTTTGAAGAACAGGTGGAGGAAAACTTTTGTTTTAAAGGTAGAACCGATTTTTTTTGTTATTAAGATTTCTTCGCTTATTAACTTATATATTAATTGAGCAATTTCAAGTTATTTAGAAATTTGCCACTGGTGCATTTGAAACAAATACGGAAAGTTTAAAACCGTTATGTAACCTTAGCATTATCTTTAAGATGAATAGTGAAATCCATTCCGCCCTGAAGTTTCCACCTTAGCTGCATGCCGTATGGGGTTTTCATTTTGATACAATCCGTCAGACTCACAACCAACGTCTTTTCCACCAATGACACCAGCTGCAAAACATAGCTGTTAAGCACGTTTGCCCTGATACATCCATCGAAAAACACGTGTGACTCAAAATGTCTTCCTGATTTGGTTCTGTTTATGTCGACATCGTGTATAGAGCGAAGGAGTTGCTCCATTTCGTAGTCAGCCTCGTGGTACATTGTCGTACATATGAACACATGGATATTGTTTGATAGCTCGTTGTGTTTGTTGTGTTCCTCGTCACATGACTGATTTCGTCTGTTTAATAATAAGTACTGTTCAAGGCAGACACCTGGAAAAAAATAAAGTCTTGAATGGTACTCGAATTTCAACTGGAATCAACTGGTATCATTTCTGCTGAATTTTATATATTTGTCACTAAATGAAAGAGAAATTCAGTAAAAATGTTTCTGGAGAACGGCCTTCATTAGTAATTAGTTTTTAGACATATTCCAATACAACGATGGTTTGATTTGTTTTTTATGGATCAAATGTTTGCAGGAGAGGATACATAAGTTACATTTTTTACATCTGAGTTAAATTTTTTGTTGTTGAGTTTACATTTTTTGAAGGACTTAAGTTAAATACAAACGGTTTTAAGGTCGCGTGTCAACCAATTTAACAGTGACACATTTGCTACCACATATTGATTTCGAAAATACTGAAATATAATTATGAAAAATAGCAACGAAGCTATAGATGTACTCCCCTATGCCCGTGGGCAGAGTTTTGAATAAGCAATTAGAAAACAACAACAACAATGATAAAGACAAAAAAAGAGTTATGCATTAAAATTGATTTTGCTTTCTCAATCCCACTGCTCTAATATAGAATGAAAGATGAGAATGGATGCAAAATAACATACCATTGTAAGACGGAATCCATAGAAGATCAGATGCCTTTGCCATGATCTGTCCTTGACTCTTCCATGTGTAATAAGTGGTTGCAATGAACTGCGAGAACCACAGAAGGAACCCTGCCCCAAGAATGTAGCCTAGATCTGTTGATGCACTAGGTAATGGTAGTGTGCTTATTTCACATATCCTTTGGACTTGCATCACGAGGAGAGTAATCGGTGTTGCCAGCGTTAACGGAAGAGCGTATCCAATACGTTGCATGCAAAGAGAACAGCTCAGCCAACCAAAATGATAACCAAAGAAACTCGCAAAAATATGAAGCATGAAGTAGGTTGTTGATGGATTCATTGTTGTCATGGCTTTAAAAGTGTCGTAAATGCTGTCGAGCTCAACAATATCGTAACTTTTGGCGAACGTCATTGCAATCAGAGGTGTGAGAAAAAGTTTCCAAAACGAAGATACAATGGCCGCCTTTCCTCGGGCAGTTTTTATCTTAACAGGAGGACCCCTGCTAGTTCCTCGCTCTTCATCATTGTTGCTTAAAGAAACGCCTGAAACATAGTGTTCTCTTAACGTCGATTGACTGTGTTGTTTGCTTCGTATTTGGAGTTTTCTAAGCTTCGGTGACCAAGCAATGGAAAGGAGAAAAAATGATACAGGAATGCCAATCTGTCCAGATAAGTCGGGTACCTAAACGAAACAATCAATAATAAAGATAGTCGGTCCGAAATGTAATTCCAGCTTCCTTCTGAGATAGCCAGCGAATACATCATTCGGAAGAGTTTATCGTCCGCAATTAAAATTCACAAGTAGATGTAATGTTAGGAAATAAATTTCCTCACTTAAGACATTTTATCACATTCTTGCTTTCATCTCGTATAAACTAAAAGATATTTTATGATTAGTTACCTTTATAGAGAGCATGACAATGCCAGTTATGGCTGAGATAGCAGCTGCAGAAAACTTAATAACATCCAACTTCCCTTGACAAGTTTGCCATTGTGATCGCGATTTGAACGCTTGCCATATCGCCGGTGCCACACTTAAACTGCACATAAGCAGCACAATTACGTCGGTGTTAACTGGTAGAACAGTCACCATCACCACGGCAATATAATTAAGAGAAATCGCTTCTAGGGCTCCGGAAACCAAAATCTGTAATAAAGTGAATTCTTTTACATTTAGAAAGACATATCTTAAGGCCACATAAGCAGATAACTTAACAAACTAGATTTACAATAAAGTTGGAATATAACGCGCGCTGTCATTGGTTGAAAGAGCGTGCTCTATGAGAGTATAGAGCAGAGAGCTGAGCTAAAGCTTTCACGCCATCTGCCAAATTGTACTATGTTCGACCTTTTCCGGGACTTCTTTTTAGCTTTCTTCCGATAATTGAAAGTGAAATTTCGGAACAAGCGAGCTGGCAAGTAGCAACAGAAGAATCAAATAAAGCTTTGTAAACATACCAGTCGCCGTAATTTACGTTATTAAAACGTGAGCAGATTCGAAAATCCTCAAAGGAAAAACAAAATAGACATTCCGAGTTTCAAAGATTAATTCACGCTCAGTTAGATTGCAAGCTTACGTACGGAAACAAAAATCAAACACAACTAACACTCATATAGTATATAAAGTTCAGTGTTCAAAAACAAGACAGAACAAAACAGAAATGATGAAAAATATAACCAACTGGCATAACTGTTAAAATTCATTCTAATCATGACGGTGTCTGAGCGAATATCATCATGCTGAAGTCCATCGCGGCTCGCCCGTCATGGTGATCTCCGGTCATCACAGTAAAGCAAGCCTCAGAAACTACATCGGCCGCCCTTCGAGTGAAAAAATAAGAGCTTTCTCTAATATCCTTTCCGATGCATTGAATGGAAAGTCACATCTGTCATTGCAGCCGAGTTTTGCCGCGCTGTCATCCCGAGCGATCTTCGTGTTCCGCTGAATTCGACTGTCGTTCATTCAAAAAACATTCGCCCTGAACAGTTTGTTTTCTACCTTGTCATGTGAAAAAACTCGCGTGTTTTTATGAGCAATAATTCGGCTGAAATTCACTGAACATTTTACTTCAAGATTCTGTATTAGAGACTTAAAAACTTCAGGCAAAAGTGTTAAATTATTTTAGTTTATAAACTATCGCAGAATGTGAACTTTGATGGTTTTTGAACTTTGATGGTTTGACACTTTTGACAGCTTTAGTCTTGTACAGCCAATCAGATTATTTGAACCATTCTAACAGGGATTCTGATTGGCTTATTGTAGCGTGCTTTATGAGAGTATAGAGCATGCTGACGACATTGTTGTTCGCTTTGGAAATAAAGTTTGTTTTGAAAATTGAAAGTAATGCTCGGGGAATTTAACGGATTCTTTATTATAAAACAAATAGAGAAGCCTTGACTGTGCTCGGTTCTGTAATAAAGCACTCAGGAAGCGGCTAGAGCACTCAAGAAGTGGAGCGAAACACTCGACTACGTCTCGTGTTTCTCCCTACATTTCTTTCGTGCTCTAGCCGCTTTCAGCGTGCTTTATAACAGAACAGAGCACAGTCAAGGCTTCTCTATTTGTTAAATAGGCAGTGAGGAACTAATCATGTAAACCGTCTACAAAATATTTCTCCATTATTTCATTGTCCTTCACAGAGTCAAAAGGCCGAAAAAGAAAATGGGTTGATTATTTCTTGTTTGCTTGTTTCCTGTCGGTTGCTTTGTTGAATGTCAATATTAATGAATAACTGATTGGTAAAGAGTATATCAAGCTTTTAAGTGCTCGACAGGAAATCGGGGTACGATTGCACTTACTGATTCCTTTAGATCCATACAGCTTAGTGTATATAACCCACATTATACCATGATTCTGTGTTGGACACGAGATACCCAGTTCTGTTCAGTATTACGACATTTTTGGAGTAAAACGGCTTTCCTGCGTAAGCCATTCCACATTGTGCCATGGCAGAGGATCAAGAGTGATATCTGAACACGAATATGACTGTTTTACTGCAAGAGGCTTGTTTTCATTCATCGATCGACATGTGTTTGTGACAATTTTTTTTTACTTTTGCCTTTTGAATAGAACAAGAAGTGTTCATTATTTTATATACATAGTCGTTGGGCGGAATCACGTTTTTGATTCATTTCAAATTCGTAAAAAATCATTACGACAAAACCTAAAACAAGTCTCATCTCGAACTTATGTAATATGTTATAAAGCGATTTTTCTCTATGTCAAACTCTTATCAACAACGGTGTTCAGGCAGCGAGCCCGTGCGACTCTAAAATTATTGTTATGAAGTGTCTGTTGGCGCGACTTCCAGTAAGAAATTAGTTTACACCTTCTGCAACTTGTGTTTGCCTTAAATGGTAACTTTTTTAAGCCGATAATATACTTCCTTGAAATATACTCGAACTTTTGCGTTTCTTTTACCCTAAAACAAAGGGCAATAGAGCTTTTCATGATAGGCAGTCTCATCACTTAGTATATTATGACAACTTAGTCAAAACAACTTAAGGCCTATTTACACGGCACGACTTTGTCGCATGCGACAAGCTTACGACAGGCCTACGACATGACTTAAGAGTCGTAAGCGAGTTGTAGGTTTGATTTACACGCAACAATTCGTGTCGTAAGCCTGTCGTAAGCTTGTCGCATGCGACAAAGTCGTACCGTGTAAATAGGCCCTTAGAGATGCTAAACATAGCAGCATACCAAAACAGTCCCATCTAAGACACTTTGATTGACGTTTTTGTTAAGACTTAAGCACTCTTTTTGCTTTCAATTCTTCTCTGTTAGCCACAAAAATAGCCTCAGGCGCGTTAAAATTTATTGTTTCTGTCATCTCAAAGGAGGAATGAAATAGTATCGTAGAAGTAAAACCTCTGAATCCAATATTCATAAAAGCAAATTAAACCACTTATGTAAGGCTAATGCATAATGCGTCGCTGGGGGTATTACAAAATAATTTATGTTTTATGAGCTGAGTTGATAGTGTAAATGATAGATATATCATAGACATCGAGATGGACTGGTGTAAAGAGTTTCTAAAGCTGACGTTTTAAGCCCTAGCCCTTCGTCAATGCATTATCCACTCATTTAGTAAAACCAGATTATCTTATAATGCATGAATGATTCGCTTTGAAATCTGGGTGAAATTAATGCATATTTTATGCACAACAAACAGCAAGATAATTGCAGTCTAATTAGAGGTCGGAGCGTTTTTGTCTATTCTGCCATTATATTTCGTAACAGGTAAAACTGAGTTTTAAATGAGTGACTGAAGATGATTGCCACTATCCTTATAGTACAATTGCCATAAATTTAGTGAATTCTTCTAAGTTTTCTCTTAAAGTTATTAATTCACGGAAGTGGAAGACAAGCAATATTTCCCTTTGCCAAATAGTTCAAAGATCGATTTTTGAATGTAACGGTGATAAAACAAGTTCTTGTTGTCCCAGAAGAAAAAGCAATGTCGTGCTATTGCATACATCTAAAACGTTCGTGAGATCGCGGGCAAAGACAAAGCGGCAATGGCGCTGAGTACATGGCCAACATAGCGCGCATCATATTAGAAGGCTTCGACACCGACATAATGATTTTATGATAAAATTATTTTCACAGTTTATCAATTATTATTCTTTTTTGAA